ATGGCTAAGTTTTGTCAACTAAGATTCTACAGTCAGTTAGTGCTTTATGACACCACGCGGCAGCCTAACATTCTCCTTAACTTACTCAAGGGACATCGATACCAACCAATGTGTCGCACTAACGTAGCCATCGCTTCAACCATATCGGTATACGCCATAAAATCTCTCCAATCTATTGCTACTTACCTAAAAGTGCCCCAGATCCGGGTATAGGATCTTTAAGAATAACCCAAACATAAACCCAAAAAATAAAGTATACAAATCAAACAAGTAAATAATTTTAAATATGATCTAGCTCTAAGGTAACCCCACTTTTAGTTTTAGTTTTCCACAGCAGAGTCACCAGTTCTGTAATACGGTAGGAGAACTGACTTTACTGGTTTTACGTTTTATCGCAATAATTGCGGTTAGGAAGAGTTACCATCGACTTTTCTTTTATCCAACAAAGGAAAGGATGAAAAGAACATGAAAGACCTTTCAAGATTATTTTCTGAGTAAGGGGGTAGGTTATGGAAAGGGAAGGTGTTAACACCCTTTCCATCCGTAGTTATCTACGGGCTCTTAGTTGTTAGCTCATTTTGAAAATGCTTTGTGTTGTGTGTTTGAAGATATTTTTGAAAAGAAGCCTTAGTGCGGCGAACTTTGTAATGTTTCTCGTTTTGGCGAGAACGTATACAAAGTGTTTTTTGTCTTTGAAAATATTTAGAAAAGAGTTTGTGTATGTGTGAAAAAAAAATTTATGAGCAAGCAACTATGAGCTATCTACCTACTCGAAAGATTTTGTTCTTTTCCTCTTTCCTTTAGATAATGCTATCCTACTATTAGTCAGTAGGTAGCCCTATCGTTGGATGTTTTGAGGGACATGCGAGGGTCATCGTACAATCACGAAAGCAACTCGTAAGATACTTTATCAATCACCCTAAGGTTTTAAGATTATTTGCAAGGAAACGTCGAAAGGGTTATCGAGGGACTTATGATCTTTAAACCAAAGGGTCACCGCTAAAATCTCTTACGTTCGAGAGACGTGACTGTTTTATTCCGAAGGCAACAAGTGGAGGTACCTTACAGGTGCGCGTGTGTGAGTGTATTGTGTTTCAGTTATGTTTATCTTGAGTGTTAGGTTTTGCTAACGCTTTTTTTAAGTCTTTCCATACAAGCCTATTAGCATACATCTATAAGTACGAAAAATAAAATGCGGAAATTGGAATCTACGCTATTACAATGCTTCGGGATTGGGGGAAATTACAAAAAAAAAAAGGGAAAAAAAGAAGTAAAAGGTCCTAGTTAAAGTCTATTACATCCCATGTATAATTACATAATTGTAAAAAATGATGCGAATAAAATAAGATGAACGTGCGAAGAAGAAAAGAGAAATATGTAAAGAAAACCTAAACAATCTAAGTGATAAAAAGAAATGTTTTTGTTGTTTTTGTTTTAGGAAAAATGGTTAAATTAAATTAAAGAAAACCTAATTCTAATTAATTTAATTAATTAAAAAAAAGATGATTAAATAATTAATTAAATTAATTTTAATTAATAAAAATCTGAGTCTAATATTTTTTTGTGATTTTATTATTTTTTTTGTTTTTGTTATAAAAAAGAAATAATTAAAGTAAAAGAAAAAGACAAAAAAAATTAAATTGGGACAAGCTGTAAAATAAGTAATTAGGGGGTGTGAAAATCAGAAATCAATTGGCCCAACAACATTGGCCCTGGCGCTGGAGAAAAAATCTTCAGGATCCTGTGCATCTCTCTCATGAGGCTTATCGTGGGTGCTCAGATCTGGATTGCTGGATCTGGATCTGATGATGTTGATGTGAGAGTGCACGATGAGCGTGATTCTAACGTCAAAAACATCATGCGATCACTTGTTCTTGTCCTGTTCTCTAATATGAATGCAACTGTATCATAAAAAGTGTTAAATAGACCTGCAACCGATTATACAAAAATGAACAAAATTTTTACCACTGGTGAGTTCGTGAATGGTCTTCTAAGCACGGTTGAACGTGTTCTCGGATCTAGGGAGACTCCTGGGGATCTCAGGAGTAAGGTTTGATCACTGATTTGGATTGATTGTGCCTGGAAAAGCAGTTACGAATTTTGGCAATTTTGAGGAATTTTTGAGAATTTGGTAGTGCACTCTTTGAGAAGCTTTTTTAGAGAGCTTTTTGAGAGATTTTGCATGTACAAATTTTATGCCCCTTTGGCATGCCTTTTAGTTCTTTATATAGAGGGAATAGAGGAGTAGATAAATATGGAAGGAAAACCAAGCCATGATGGCCTTTGAGACAAGAATAAAACACATTCAAAGCTTGCCAAAAATGAGTGATTCTTGCCCTTTCTTGATGCTTCATGAACCTGGAAATTTGTGATGTACCTTACACGAATTAATGGGCTCGAAAGTGGATCAAATCCAGCCCATGTGCATAGCCCATGATTTTATTGATTTTATTTAATTTATTTTACATTTATTTGAATAAAAACAAAATAAATATAAATAAAATAATAAGAAAATACAAGGCACGGTAAGAGTGAGTTTATGAGTCTTTTTCAAGGCCATGGACATGTTTTAATTCTAAAAAGTTAGGTCACAAGTCCAAAATTTCAAGTTTGCACATTTAGCATTTCATGTATTTCTCAAAAATTGTCCAACTTGTGCAACTCATAACTTGCTCAATTTTAACCTTTTGAAGATGATCTTGGACTTTTTGGAAAGCTCAATATATCCTATACAATCTCTATATTGATCATATTATATTTTAAAGACATTATATTGATGTAAGTTGCCTTGACAAATAGTTTCTTTTGTTTACTTTTGAAAATGACCTATAATGTGTGAGCTTATATCTTCTAAATGAAGCATCTTTTGGACTTGAGAATAAAAGCAAAGTTGTAGGGAAATGAATTTTATCCAAAATGGGATTTGGGTTGGGGAAAAGTTGATGAAGCATGTAAAATTTATGCCTGGTCAAAGTTCAGTTGACTTCTCATAAGGAAATCCTAATTTGACAAATCTTGACTTTTGATGATTTTCCTCAGGGAATCATGATCAACCCTTGATCAAATGATGAATATTACTTCAAAATGTTGATGTTGACCAAAAATATTAAAGTTTGACTGTATATTAACCATAGTTGACTTTTTGACCAATACAGTTGATTTTCAATCATTTGAGTCATTGACTGAGCAAACTTGTGATGTAGGGCTTGAAACTTGACATGAACCTTGTTGAGGACCTATGAAGAACCATGGAATCCACTTGAGAATTTTTCATCCCAAATTTCCTTGAGAAACTCAAAACCCTAGTTGTAGACCTTTGGGCTTAGGAGGAGCATCTGAATGGTTAACCCTTGAGTGTCTTGAGTTTTTGAGGAGCCTTGAAAGAATGTCTTGAGAAAAATGGGAGGAAATTTTTTGGGATATAACACAAGGTTTAAATGTGTTCCTCATGTTTCATAAGTTATCAAATTAATAATTAATTAATCCATCATCATGTCAAGCTCTCATGTATGTCCATGCACTCTGAATTGTGGAGGATTTGGGTGTTTCAGTGAATTTGAGACAATGTGAACCAGAAATAGTGTTTTTGCTAGTTTGAGCTCAGAAATTTGCAACTTGCAAGTGAGATACTGTTTCAAGTTGATTCTCCGGGCATTAGAATTGTCTCGGTATTTTCTTCATTTCATTTGTTCAGAACGAAAGCCAATTATGTACATAAAGTTTCCAAATCATTTGATTTCCCTAAAATGGTATTCAAATTAAATGATTGGTTATTTGTTTCTTGGGTGTTTAGAAATTTGTAACTTTCATCCGATTCAGTATTTTCCGTTGATTCTTTGAGCATTAAGATTGTATTGATTTTCTTATCATTTCTCGTGTTCGAATCGAAGGCTGATTTTATGAATAAAATCTCCGGGAATTTTAATTCTTTGAAGACAGTGTAATGAATTTAATTGTTGGTCTGTCGTTTAGTAGGTAATTAAAAATTCATAACTTCTAATTGGAATCTTGTTTTGGAGCGGGTCTTAAGACATTAAAACCGTCTTAATGCCATCTTCATTTTGTATGTTTGGCTCAGAAGCTGATTCGGTAAGGAAGATCTTCGAATGTGCGGATACTCTGAGGAGGTACAGTGGGAATACAGTGGAAAATAGTGTGTTGAGTCATTATTTTTGGACGGTTAAAAATTCATAACTTTCGCCCAGTGTATTGTTTTTGAGCGGTTATTTGGGAAAAAAATTCATCTTGATGCCATCTTCATTTCATATGTTTGGGTCTAGGATTAATTCATTGAGGAAAGTCTTTGAAAGTGTGAATTACAAGAGATTTTATTGTGCTGAACCAAAGTTTTAATTCACCGTTTTCCGATATTGTAAAAATCGTAACTTCTTAGATTTTTATCGTATCGAGACGATTCTTTTGGCATAATTTCACAAATGATGTCAGATACAGCTTTGCTTCATACTTCGAGTTCAAAAGGTACTCTGAAGGCTTTCGTTAATGAACCATTTCGCTAATGGAATAGTGAAATTCGTTGCTGAACTGGAAAAGACAGAGTCTGAGCAACTTCGAAAATTCATAACTTTCTCGTCGTTTATCCGATTGAGTCCATTCTTTCGGCATGATGTCACAAATTTCGCAATCTTCATTTTTGATGTTGAGCTCGAGTTGAGATTTGGCACCAATGATGACGTAGCATTTTATACTCACATTGTGTGTTAAATTTGATGACATTGTCAAAATGAGGCTCAATCCAATTTTACATCTAAGGCCTAATTTGCCCATACTATATATTCCAAAAGTTAGTTTTTTCTCTCATAAATCACTCACTCCCAAAAACTCCTCACAATTCTCTTTCTATTCTCTCAAATATCAAACACATCCTTCTCTCAATTTTGCTCAAGAACATCAACAATATTCATCAATCTTAAACAATTTATCTAGAACAAAAGAGTCAAAATTCATCATTATTCTTCCTCCCCAATCGGAATTCCGCAAGCATGACACTTCCTCTGCATACCGCTCCGGTCCACCGCTGCAAGTCCTCCCTCCGGCCACCGCGCGAACGCGGTATCTCTTCCATCTCCGCCGCATTTTTCCGGCATTTTCCTCTCCTCTTCGCGACTGTTCCGACATTAACATCATCCTCTATTTCGCGCTTCGATTCTGGTAAGTAATCTTCATCTCAATTCTTGATTTAAGTGTTTTTTTACATAATCATTTTTGTGAATAAGCATGTTGTGTTTCTTGAATTGAACTTTGATTGGGGAATTGAATTAAGAATTGCATGGAATATTGATTGTGAATTCTTGAATTCTGAATTCTTGAAAATTGGAATTGAGAAATTGTGGCATAATTTTGAGAATTAAGTTGTATCTCATGAGTTAATGTAATTTTGTTTCAATTTGTTAACTGATTTAACTCTTGGACATTTAAAACCTCAAATTGGAAGAATTATATTAACACATGACTTTTGAGTTTTGCTTAGATTTAAGACATTCACTTGTTCGTAGCTTGTGCTTTTCTCATGAGTAATGATACTTGAACCAATGAACACTTTCATGCACTTATTTTCGTTGTTTAAGGTTGATTCCGATTGAATTTCTCATAAATGCACACGGCTGTCCGGTAATGGAAGTAACACTTGCGATTGGAAAAGTCAACTATCTCTACCATCAGATTTAGAATCTTTAGAGTTATTTTATATCACTACGGAAGCGGAAATGGAATCAGAACAAAACTGATAGGAAGTTAAAAAGGTTCATTAGAGAAAAGAAATAATCTTTTTGGCCAAGAGATGTTATTACAAATTAGGAGTTCTATTTAGCCCATTTAGTATGCTTTATCTTTCAATTATATGGCCCATGACCCATTTAGTTATGATAAACCCAACTATATATTGTAAGTGCTGAATTGTTAAATGAAAGAAGAGAATTTCATAACAACAGGAGGAAGATCCTCGATTCTCGAACCGATCAACATCAGCGGCGACTCAGATTCAGAGTATCACGCCTCTCTTTTTCTACCGTCTTCAGTGATCTCTCATGCAGTGTAGTAAAAAGATAAGTTTGTTCTTCTTCTCCTTTTCCAATTCACAATTTGAAAACTTTTGTAATTCTGGATTTCTTCTAATCTATGTTCATATGAATTGAACTTTCAAAGTTTATACATCTTGCTCTGTTTGTGTTTTATCATGAATGCTAGATATTTGATTAAATGTCTTGTGGGTGATTAATCTATCATTCTCCACTTTAACTGAACCATTGGAAAGACACTTTGAACCATAAAAATAGTTGAAACACACCAGAGTAAGTAAATTCCCATTTCTATAATGGTGCAAAAGCTTCGAACTTTTAACCAATGGCAAATAAGTCCATATAGATGTCCTGCTTCTAAAAGATGGTGAAATGTAACAACTTTATGCTCAAAGATGGTTGTAACTGGGTTCACTATAGTCTAAAATTATGTTATTTGTTTGATAGATGATGATATAATTCATTTACATCTTCACCAACAAAGTCTCTTGAAAGATGGCAGTCATACCATGCAATGCGTTTGAGCTAAAGACATACTCCGAACACAAGAAACTGGTTGTGTACGATTGACACTGTGAACCCTGCTGCAAGAGTATATGAGGGAGAAACTCCAAGGAGCCTTCATTTTGTCACCAGGCCCAAGAAGGGATGAGTTTATATACTGGAAAAACACCGAAGGCCCTTTGCCTCATCACATCACCTAAATAGTCTTCAAATCAAACTAGTGTTGCTGCTAAAAGGTACATATCTCAGCTTATATTCCCGCCTTCTCTTTTTTCGTGTCACACCTGGATTGAGGAAATCAGAGTAGCACAACAACTCCGACATGCCGATGAAAATGTAAGCTTTGCTTTACTTGATGTTAGGGAATGGAAATAGAATATACATATAGGTATATGACTGCTATGAGAATAGGAGTCACTGAACATTCTTCTAGGCTATATGTGCAGGAGCAGATTGTGTCATACTTGTATATTGTTAGTCCTTTTGATTCATTCTCAAGTGTTTCAAGTTTTCATAAAATAGGTATCGTATCATACTTGGCCATGAAATCAAATCGGGTATGGCTTTTCTTAAATGAGATTTATTGCATGAGTGCATGGTTATCATGGGAAAATTTCTGGGTAACAAATACTGTTATGAATAAGAACAGCATGGTCATACTAAAGCGGTCAAACTTCCTGTAACTTGCTGAAGCTTTGTAATATGTCATGTCAATTATTTTTCTAACAACTTGGAAGGTTATGGTAAGCTAAACTGCATGCTTGAGTACATAGAAAATTTCCCTAAAAACATGAAATGATATTTTGATGACTCTCGCATCTCCGCTTTCCTGGCACTTGAATTGATTTACTAGAAATATGAGAAGATGAAACTTTGCATATGTATTCCAATCATATGGCAATGTTCTTTCTTATTTGATGGACCATAAATCCATTGAGACACTAGCAATGCCTATCTGATCAAAACATGTTTATATTATCAAACTCGATGCGTTTCGATTGATTTTATGATAGAAGTATGTACAGCTTGTTGTTGTGTCATAAAAAGAAACAAAGAAGTACCTTGTACGAGTTGAGAACTTATATATGAAATCAAGGAAGAGCCATTCATCATGACATAATTAGGGGGAGATAACCAGGGAGAAAGCACAAGAGCAAGGAATCCAAATGACTGAACCCCATATTATCAATTTCATGAAGATGTCTACTCTACCTCTCAGATCAGCTTCCTGATATGGGAGGTCTCTGACCAAAATCCTTAATGGAGCTTCAAGCCTACTAAAGTGACTCACCGATGCATTGGCATCAATTCCTCCAAAGAAGGGTACATGCCCATCAAAGTCGGCATCAGTAAATATAGTTTTCAGACTACTGTCAGACATGATAAATGTGAATTTGCCCTACAAATCTGCATCAGTCAGAAAGGAATTGGACAACCTTGTCGACATCACTGATGAAAGATAAGTCGTTTCACATAGTGCATTTAAAAATTTAGAGAATTAGTGAGTTTATGCATAAGATGCTAGGACAACAATGCTTTGTTTACATTTGTGACTCTGGTTCATTGCCAGTTAAATTTTCTTATTACCAATTGTAGTTTCTTTTGTGTGATCCATGGCAGGAATTGTAGGCTACTCCCAAGCGTGATAATGGAAAACAATCACTTATTAGGAATTTCAAAAGGTTCTGTAAGAAGTATCGAGGTGTTATTCAACACATGAAAATGTATTCGATTTAGCTAACGTCGGTTTGGGAGTCGTCGTTTTCCCTTCAAACAAGAAGCTAGCTTTGATTTATGCCTTCAGTAGACATTAAAGTTTTTTATGTGTTATGCAGAAGGATAAAATAAGTGTTTCCAAAAAATGGTTTGTTACTATATCACTTGGATGCAAATCCAAATAAAATGATTATGCAATAAGAATTATATCATCTAACCGTAATTTATACTATAGCAAGGCTTTGTCTTTTAAGAAAATTCAGTCTGCATAGTTCCAAGTCTAAACTTCCAGTATGATAGGATGCAAGTTATCCAGCTCTGTTGGAGATGTTTTTTGGGTCAAAATACATCCTTGCCTGAAACCGATTTTTGATGTGATCCGAGGAAGAACTCAAACACAATGAGAATTACGACCCCGACGAAACCATTACCGTCCTACGTGTATAAGATAAACAATGAAGGAGTAGAAAAACGATAAATGTCATAAACATAGTTGGCATACCTTGCCGCCATGAATATGATATTTTGATTTAACTAACAAGGACGTTAAGTTGGTTATATTGTAAGATTGTAAATGATGGAGAAAATAACCAGTTGTCATGCGAAGGGTAGATATGGCAAATAAATCCGTCTACGTCGGGCTTTGGCTGCTCCCGTCTCGAAATTAGCGGAGAAAACTCGGTTTAATCGGGACTGGGGCCGGGTGTGGATGAGCATCACCCGTCCCGCACCCGCCTCACATCCGCCAACTAAATTTAATTTATTTAATTTATTTTTAATAGTTTTATTATTCATTTATACTGTTTAATGTTATAATATCATGTTTATTGGAATTATTATTATTATTTTTTTAAAATACAATTTAAATAAAAATATCAAACATAAAAAATGTTTTTAAAATAATCAATTATTTAGTTTAATTATTGATTTTTATTTTCATTGAAAAAAGTATAAATTTAAAAAAAAGTTAAAATTTTATTCGGACGGGTGTGAGCCGGGTGCGGGAAAACCCGTTTTTGTTGGTGACGGGGGCGGGGAACAAATATTAACCCTGATCGGGCTTTGGTGCGGGTCTGGGTTTGGATGGCGGGTGCGGGTCTGGGTATGCTTAAACCCACCTCCGACCTGCCCCGTTGCCATCCCTAGCGAAGGGTTAACAAGTCATCCACAATCAACATTTGAGTAAACAAAATTAGTTTTAGTGTTGAAATATCTCTTATTTAGTATTATTTATTTTCTTATTTAAGAGTCATTATATTATTTTAAGAGTCATTATATCACTCATAAAATAAAGGAGTTGACTTTGTATTTTCTCTCATGTAAAAAGAGTCATTTTCCCTCATAATAAAATATATAATTATCACCCTTATGCTTTTCTACATGGTATCAGAGCTATGTTAGGGTTAGAGTGATACTGGAAAGTTTTCCCTAACTAGTGGGGTTTGGGGCATCGCCTCGAATTTTTTTCTTGGCGACCCATTCTTTTATCTGATTCGACCAATCCAAATTATGATGGACCCTACCCAAAGACCACCTCCTCTCGGAGGTCGTGGAGGCAGAGGCGGCAACGCCAACAATAATATCGGCGGCAACGCCAACGTCAATTCTGGAGGCACCAATAATTCCAGCAGAGGAAGTGGATTTACCATGCTAGAAATGCCCAGTTTCATGACAAACAACAATTTTAACGGTGGATTCATTTATGGCAGAGGTGATCCCAACAACAACCTTTTTGGGTCCGGTTATGGCTACCCATTTGATGGTGGTTACGGTAACTTAGGAGGTAGAGGTCAAAATAATCCTCTTCAAGTTAATATTCAGAAATTGGATGGCTCAAACTACGCTGAATGGTCCCAAACTGTTCGATTTATTCTAGAAGGCAAAGGGAAGTTGAGTTTTCTTACAATTGATGTTTCGGTGCCTGCAACAACACATGCTAATTACAAGTTCTGATAATCTAAAAACTCTTCTATTATTGCTTGGCTTATTAATACTATGTAGGTATGTATTAGAAAAACATACATGTATCTGCCTACAACAAAAGATGTTTGGGATGTTGAAAAACTGTCTTACTTTGATATTAAAAGTTTCTCTCAAATTTATGATCTAAAATCAAAATTATGGAATTTAAAGCAGAATGACATAGATGTCACTACCTACTATAATGAATTGATGGCCCTTTGGTAAAATTTGGATCAGTGTTATGATTATAATTGGAGGTGTACTAAAGACAATGTTCAGTTTATTAAGACGCGGGAGAACGATTGTGTCTTTTTTTTCATGGTCTCAACAAGGAACTCGTGTAGTAAGAGGTAGAATTCTTGGAAATAATCCGCTGCCAACTATCCGAGAAATTTTTTCAGAAATCAGAAGGGAGAAGACTAGACAAAGAGTAATGATGGGAAAGTCAAACTCAGTAAATGATGGTTCTTCCCTTGTCACAAACAACTTCAATAAAGACGAAAAGAAATATGGTAAGAAAGATGGTAAACTCTGGTGTGATCATTGCGAATGTTATTATTGAAGAATGCAAAAACACAAGAAGGGGGTTTGAATTGGGGTTTTTAAAACTTAAAGCAAAGAACATGTTGGTTATCCTGATTCGTTTGAACTCAAACTAATCCATTCCACCCTCCAAGGTGATTTCGCCTCTCTCAACGAGGTCTTAATCCACTAATCAAACTTGATTACACAACAACTATGACAACCGTCAAAGTCTTCTTGAGTTTAAACCACAATCTGGTTTTCTCCAGGAAATACATAAAACAATATTTAAGAGAATGTACACAAATTGTTTTCTAATAAAATAATATCACAAAGTCATGTTTTACACAATTGAGATTCAGTGCGTTTGAAGGTGATGAAGATAACTTGTTTGTTGTGCGCAAAATCGTGAACGATTTCTCCTTCAAGATTTGTTTAAATAGGCAACACATGTAGGAGCTTTTGGAATATTGATCAATGATAATTAAAGAGCTTTTCAAAAAAGAGATCCTTGTTCCCTTTCAGCCGTTACTTTTGAATAGCAATAATTGAATTGTAATGCTTCAGAACATGCTTGCTTCAAAAGATGAAGGTTATCGTTGCTTCTTTATAGAACTTTATGGATTAGAAACACGAAGTCCTGTTTGCAGCATTAGAACTTATTTAACAAATGTAGAATCATAGTTGAAACAACTATTTAACTCATCTTCAGTGCTTCTTCCATCAGAACTTCTCTGCAAAACAAAGTACAAATTTAGGGAGCATAATTATTCTTTGAGTGTTTGTTATCATCAAAACTCTTACAAGGGCTGTAGAATCAAACTATGTTCTAACAATCTCCCCCTTTTTGATGATGACAAAAAATTGGATATTTCAATAGACACATAAAGAACATAAAGCATGTAAGGTCTCCCCCTGAGTTGAATACTCAGATAGAGAAGAAATACTTCCCTGAAGTTTATTCTGATTAGAGTATTTGATGCGTCCATTTCTGTCCTCAACAGAGTTTGTTCCTGTTTTGCTTTCAGAAAACAAACAATAGAAGTTATGATATTTAAAATGTTTGAGACTGCGTCTCGATATTGTTATATTAGAAATATCTTACGTTCTCCCCCTTTTTGTCAAGAATCAAAAAGCAATAAAAACACTTTAAGCAGTAAAGAGGATTTGTACTCAAAAAGTCGCAATAAACATATTTAGAAGGAAACAAATTAAATGAACACAATAAAGAAAACAAATTTCAAAACTAAGATTGAGGTGGAGGAAGTCGTGTGAACAGGGCTTCCAACAAACTCTTAATATGATTGTTTGACTCTTCTTGTTTTCCCAGCATCCCTTTGATTTTCTTGCATGTATCATCCTGCTTGTCAAGTCTTGCCTTAAACACTTCATTCTCTTTCTTCAACTCCTTCAGAGTTTGTAGCACAAGAGATGAAGAAGGCATATCAACAGAAGGTTCCACCTTTTCAGAGCAAGTTGCGGATGATTCTGATTCAGGAGCTTCTTCAACTTTCTTGCCTTTGTCTAGAACCCTAACCAGAGGAAGAGGATCAAAGGATGGTTCATCATATTCTGAAGGCTGGTGATCTTCCCAAGGGGAATTGTCCTGCAGAAGAAGAGGTTTCTTTTCCCAGTGATGCAGAACTTGATCCTTAAAGACATTCAGATGATCACAGAAGTTCTGTTGAGCAATTTCATAACTCAACTCCTTAAGTTTCTGGGACTTAGAAATGAACCATTTTCTGAAATGGTTCCAATGTGAATCAGAAGAAGCAGGGTTAAGATTCTATAAGCATGCTAGCTTCAGAGAGTTAACCCATTCAAGTATTTCTGTTTCAAAAATCAGCAAATTTTTACCAACATCTGCTTTGGTGATTTTTGGTTTTGGTTTTGGTATGATAATTTTTTAAGAGCTAGAGACAAGATTGTCCAGAGCTTCTAAGTCTATGACTGTTTAAAAGGGATCTTTTGGATGGGTGATTGGAGAGGGAGAATCATAAATAACAATTGGTGAATGTGGTGATTTTGGTGGAGTGGAATGATAGGGAGATGGAATATCTGGAATGTCGTGGATTGTGATTGGTTGTGAGACCATGAGAGGGCAGGTGATTCCAGGAATGGATGTTGTGGTATCAGAGTCAAAACTTGGATTTTCTGAGTGGGGAGCTTGAAACAGCGGAT